TATTATTTCTTCCTAGCACATCCTTAAGAACATTTGGAATTCTGATTTGGTGGTCATAAATTTCCTCAGATGTTCTTTTTGTGGAAGTATTTTATTTCTCCATCAATTCTGATAGATAGTTTTTCAGGGTATATCAATCTGGGCTGAAAGCTGTTTGCCCTTAAAACTCTCCTGGACTTGAGAGTTTGTGTTGAGAAGTCAGCTGTGATTCTGACGGGCTTTCCTTTATAGGTGAATTGTTTCTTTTCTCTAGCAACTTTTAAGATTCCATTCTTGTGTTGAATTTCTGTAATCTTGATTATTATATGCCTGTCTGTAGATTTTTTTTATCATGGCTAATTGTAGAGTTGTATATGCTTCATTTATTTGTATGTCCAATTCTTTTTCTCTACCAGGAAAGTTTTCTTTCATGATATCTTTGAACATTTTTAATGTCATTGGTGGTACCTTCTGCTTGTTCACTGACTCCAAGCAATCATAAGTTATTCATCTTTGTCTCATCTATCAGCTGCTGGATTGATTTCTTATGGCCCCTTGCTATTTTTGAGAAATCTTTCTTTCCCTGGTTGCTAACTGCAAGTCTGTCTTCAGTATCTGAGATCCTGTCCTCACATTAGCCTAATCTTCTTCAAATACTTTCAGTGGAGTTTTTGTTCTCCTAGATATCTGCTTGAATCTGCTTTCTGGGTTCTATTTCTTTCTTATGCTGAACTTCCATAATTTTCTGAAGCTTGTCTAGTTTTTTTGTATCTGCTCTAATGTCACAAAGCATGGTGTGTATTTCGGTAATCTCTGTAGTTATCTGAGAGATCACTTCTGATTTCATTTTTTTCAGAGCCTCATTCAACTGGTTTGCTGTTACCACTTCAGAGAGCCCTGATAGAAGGGCTTTCAGACTGTCCCATCTCATTGCTCCTTGGATTTGCCTTTGGTCAACTGGATGCCTGAGGTTGTATTTTGCATACATGACTTTTCATTTTCTTTTCTCACTGTTTTTAGTTTAATTCCTGGGATGATGCTTATGAGTTGCCTATGGGGGGTAGCTTTATTGCTAGTACTTAGGACCCGTAGGTGATGACTACCTTCTCTGAGGTATCTTCTGGGTGTAGTTGGTTTGCGGGTTTTGAGCCTATTATCTCTTCAGTTTGTTGGAATTGAGAAGTTGTTGCTTGTTTGGCCTACTCCCTGGTTCTTTGGCATTGTGACACAGTATTTTCTGTGATCCTTGATCAATCTCAGTCATGGAATACCAGGGAAACTGTTTAAAATAATTATATCAATTTTGTCTATGATGGTACCAATAGCATCAAACAAAGCCTAGAAGACAACAGACTGAGCTAACCCTTAATCTGCCACTTTTAACCGAATGAACTAGACGTGTGATTATATAACAAAATGTAAAATAAACCAGAGAATTATATGCGGTATATAAGTCCTTCATGTGTTAATTTTGCCTTTGGGGGTTAACATTTAAAACACATTGAGGAGAAAATAGAGAAGTGGAAGAAGAGGAAGAGATTAGAAGTAAAGCTGGAGGACAAAGGGAAATCATGCCAGCTTTGGGAAACTGGTGCAGAAGACTGAGGAAGAGAGAGAGGGAAGGTATAAAAGGAAGAATAGAACAGAATCACACCCACAAAGAGGCTAGGAATCACACTCACACTCTACAACAGTGAAGGGAAAAGAAGAGAAAATGGAAAAGAAAAAGAAAAACAAACAGTCCCTGCCAGGATTGTCTCTGGTTTCACTAGTAGACAATCTGTGAAGACAGAGTCCCAGATCATGCTGATCTGTCCCGGCCAGCAGTGGCTTTTTGGTCGGTAGTGGATAATTTCAGCAGGCCTGCCCTGAGACCAGACACACTGGGCTCACAACAATCCAAGCTATCTCTGTTGGTCTGAGGCCAGCCGGGTGCTGCTACACGGAGCAGGCAGCAATTCTGGGTTCTGAGTTTAGCCAGCCCGTCTCCAAGACGGCTCTTGGCCAATCACTATCTCCTGCAAGAGGACAAGTCCTCTGCACTCACCACAAACCAGTGCAGTCCTCCACATCCACTGCTCCCCTCCATTGCTGCGTCTCTCTGCAGAGGCCTCTGGGGTCACCGGCTATCACCATGACCATGCATGCACAGGTTCAAACTGCTCCTCCTGTGCAGTGAGTCCTGTCTCAGGGATAAGGCAAGTCAGCTACCACCTTCTTCTTCATTGAACTCTTTTTCTTTTTACTCTCTCTGTGGGCTTCAGTTTGCACTTCAGAATCTTGTGGGGTCCAGGGGGACACTTCCTTCCTTCTTGTCTTCCTCACGATGCTGTATCCCAGCATCTGGACCGTGACTCTCAGAGAGGCTGTTCCCTCTACTGCTCTTCTATCTTGGTCTACTCCAAGGATTCATTTTAAAAGTTTACAAGCAAAATCCATGGGCAATTAAGTTTTCACAAGGAGAACAGAGGGATGAAGTCCCTGCACTCAGGAGGTGTTATGATTAATACACTGTGGCAATTTGAGAAGTTTTAACTGAGAGACTCAGCAGGGAGCAAGGAGTCTTACTTTGTAAATATCTTCATCCTGTACAAAGGAGGGCAAGGAGATTCTGTGAGTCTACACCTGCTCCAAAATGAGGGGTGGCCTGTGTACAGGGAGGAGAAGAAGCTTGTTTTCCTCCTTTTGCTGTGGCTGCTGCCTTGAAGTGCTGCCCCTGTGCCATGCTACCCGGCCTTGCAGTCAGCTGATTATGGACTGAAGCCTCCACAAACTGTAACTAAATAAACCTTTTCTTCCCTTATTTTGGGCGTCAGATATTTTGTCTCAGAAAGGAGAGAAAAGTAACCAAGACATCAGGTGTCCAGCCAGGAAATGGTAAAGGGGAAAAATCAGATTTGGGGTTCTGCCTTCAACAAGGTCATTCACTCTATGTGCAGAATCCTCTCATGAACAGGATGCATTCTCATGGAGGCAGACAAAGTATGAAGAGGGTTAGAAATCAAGGACACCGAAGGTAGAGGAAGAAAACATCACCAGAGCAACTCTAAAGGGAAGAACATGGCAGCTTGTCCCAGAACCTTGGGCAGGACTGTGGAATCCTCAGTCCGGGTGAGAGAAGCACCTGCTCACAGCTGGTTGAGAATTCATTAATATGAACATGATGAGTGTGTGGGAGAGACCCATCCTGGCTGCCTCAGACTCCATAGATGTTCTAGATCTGCTTTTCCAGAACTCATCTAAGAGGGGGCTCAGATGCATTTAGTAAAAGACTAGGTTCAGGCTTCCCTACTCTCCAAAACCAATGAACAACTTCAAATATAAGAAAGCCTCTGAGTTCACTGAAGAAAAAGATTTGTGATGGCATTGTTCTGAATTGAACACAGATGTCTTGTGCACTGGGTGAATGATTTGGGGATGACAATGTGCAATGCATGTACCATTGTTACTGTCTGGGGTAAAAAAGCCAGGCACAGTAGTGAACCCCTGCAATCCCTGCTACTGGGGAAGCTGAGGCAAGAGGATCACAAGTTGAAATCCAGCCCCAGTCCCAAAATGAAATAAAAAGGATGTGGGACACAGCTCTGGGGTAGAACGCGAGGAGGGGGGCAAGTTCTGAACTTGCATCGAGACTGGACAGTTAGCAGAGCGCTTTCCTTGGCTTTGCAATCCCACACACCTCCTCTGAGCCCTGATTTCTCCATCTCTAAAGGAACGAGGCAACCCTATGCCACTGCGGTAGTGGTAGACAGCTAGGGTCAGATCTGGGCTCTGTGGCACCATACAGGCCTGCTTTCCTGGGTGGCTGGTATGGAAAGAATGCTTGCTGGTGAGGCTTCCTAGCCAAGACCACTGGGCCACTGGACCACCCGAGCTGAGTCCCACCCTACTCCAGTGCGCTCAGTCCTCAGGCATCATTGGAACCCAGAAGGAAATTCTCAGGAATATTGTGTGTGTGTGTGTGTGTATGTGTGTGTGTCTGTCTGTATCTGTATCTGTATCTGTGTCTGTGTCTGTGTGACAAACACAGACACAGACACACACTGGAGGGGCAGTCTATGAAGGAGAATGGAACACAGCTACAGCAATGGAATTTAATAATAATACTCATGATGGAGCACACTCCAGTAATCCTAGCATTCGGAAGGCTGAGTCAGGAGGATTGTTGCGAGTTCAAGACCAATCTAGGCTACAATGTGAGCTCAAGGGCAGTTTGAACTGCATAGTGAGACCCTGTCTCAAAAAGACAAAATAAAAAATAAAGGAATAGTGATGACTGCCTAAAGTAGACCAGCATGAGGGCAGAGAGCTTCCTAAGCTCTGTCTGTCTCATTTCATCCTCCAAAAATCCTCTTACCCCACACTGGTTTCAAAAGAGGAACCCAGCTAGACAAGTTTCAGGCTACGCTCTACTGCTGCAGTGCACACTCAGATTCCTACACTCATGGCCCACAGAGGTACAAGCCTGCCTCAGGGAGCACAAAATAGTCAAAGCAAGTGCCTTCTCCACTGGGGGTCACTGTCCCTGCCCTGAGGAGAACAGGCCTAATAATGACCCTCCCCAAGAGCTGAGTCTGTAGCTGCAGGAAATATTTAATTCTACCCGGAGCCCTGGGCATCCAACCTTGACCACCACACTGAACCCACTCTCCCCTTGAGAGACCAGCAAGAGCTCCAACCCAAAATGAGATTCTCTCCCAGACCCCTCAAAATCCCTGAATCCTAACCAGCTGGTTAGCATTTCACACCAGCCAGTTGTAGTTGTGTTAGTACTTCTATGGGGACGTTTCTGCAGGAGCTCCCTCTCTCCAAGTGAATAAATAGGACCCAGGAGGAGGACGCTCCCCTTCCTCACTTTGGGGCACCTTCCTCTGTGGTCGGGCCCAGCCAATCACGACCCTTTGCCTCTGAAACCCCACAAGAAGCTGGTGGCCGCATCCTGTCCAGTGTTGAACTGAGCCTGTGCTCTAGAAGAGCATTTCCCTGGGAGCCCTGGCTCTGGGCAGCACTGCAGAGGGAAGAGCACGCAAGCTGGACCTGCTCCCTGCCCTTTCAAGAAGTGCGAGGGAAGAGTGGGGCCCGGCAGAAGGAGGAGGCCTGGATTCCACTCCACCTACTCCAGCCGGCCTCTATAAAGAGCCTTCCTCCCGGACAGCTCAGGACGCTCCAGCCGGCGCTGCCCACAGCCATGAACCTGTACCTTTCTGGTTTCCTCTTCCTCCTGATGGTCCCCTTAACTTCAGGTGAGCCCTCGGGGATTCGGAGGGCGCCTCCCAAGGCCCGAGGTGGGGAGGAAGAAGCCCAGCAGCAGCGCTAGGCGTCCTGAAAATCGGGAGATCTCGGGGGAGAAAGGAGGCGGCTTCCCTGCTCAGCCATCCAGACTCCCAGTCCAGCATCAGATTCACCCGGGCAGCCTGACACTCGGTCCCCTCCCTGAGATCTGGGGGTGAGGCAGCTCACCACCAAGTAAGCCCCCCACAACTAAAGGACCCGGCCGAGGCCGGCCCAGCCTCCCAGGGGCTGGTTTTTCCTCTCCTCCTTCTTCCCCCGCAGGACACGGCTTGTTTGGGAACAGCGGCGTGGTCGTCCGGACCTGCACCGCGCTAAACGGGCTGTGTTTCTTCGGCTGTAAACCAGGATGGACGTTTGTCGCATTCTGCCACAACATATTGGTTTGTTGTAGAAAGGATAAAAAATTTTCACCTCCCCAGGCCAATGAAGTATAACCCGCACCCATTAAAAGAACATGCGAACGACTGGAAGGATTCAGCCCTGAGTCTTTGGAGCCAGCATAGTGGGGTCAGGGCCAGGCGTCCGCGGCAGAAGTCTCCAGGCGTTCGTAAAAGGCGCCTCAGGACAAACGCACTTTGCGTTCTTTCCTTCTGTCATTTCATCCTCTCCAGACCCTGACGCAGCTGAGTAACACAACCTGTAGGTTCAGCTGTTGCCACAAGACTGCGCAGGCCAGAGCGTCTCAGTCCCTCCGGGGTAAAAGCCGCAAACCCGCCCCCCACCCCGTCCCTTTCTAAAGGTCTCTGTGGTTGCCTGGCCTCATCCCCGCAGCTCTGCTGTCTCTCCCGTTTCTTCTTTGTTTACACTCCCAACTGTGTGATGCTGTGTGCGCATTTCTTATACTAGTTGGTACACTAGTTGGCCGTGCATAATACTTGCCTGTATTGTGAGGAGTGTTAGTACTGGCCACACATCTTAATTCTTTTTCCTTTTCTCCTTCCCCTTCCATGCCTCCAACTCTTAACCCCCTTCCCATTTGAAAAAGCTCTGTTTCCATGTTTTCTAAATCCGTTTTCCCTTCCTGCCGTCCCCATTCCATCTCTTGTTCCCCTTCCCTTTTGAGAAAGGTGTTCCCTACTTCCTAATATCTATTCTGTATTTTCTTTTTTTATTTATGCATCCAAGGAAGCATCTTTTCCAAAGAACGCAAGTTGGGCGGGGAGGGGGGTGTATCTATGAGGAAACAGTGCAGACAGGATGAAAGTAGAAAACCAGCCAGTCACAGTGGTGCACCTCCATAATCCCAGCATTCAGGAGGCTGAGGCAGGAGGGCCCTTTGGAGTTCAAGGCCAGCCTGGGCTACAAAGTGAGTTCAAGACCAGCCTGAACTGCATACTGAGACCCTATCTCAAAAGACCCTACCTCAAAAAGATAAATATAAAGATTGTTAAAATGACAACATACATTTATTTAAAAAGTAGAAAATCCACCTTCACCAACCTTAGGCTTCCTGATGGCCCTGTGCCCGCACAAGTCGCACATCTGTACCAAGCACAATCAGCTGCAAAGAACCATCAACGTCCAGTCCTGGTCTTCTCATCTGGCATTAATATGGTGCAGCTCTTAGCTGGGTCTGATGGTGCATGCTTATAAACCCAGCACTCAAGGGGCTGAAGCAGGAGAATCACTATGAGTTTGAGGGCAGGGCTACATATCAAGCTCAAAGCCAGGCTGAACTGCATAGCAGGACCCTGTCTGAAAAAAAGGAAAAGAGGAAAGGGTCTGGGCTCTGAGCCATAGTCGCCCTCGCCACAGCCAGTGTCTCCACCACTCATGTCCTTCAGATACAAAAGCCTCTCGTCTTCTATTCGGTAACTCCAGGCTCCTGCCCTATCCTACTGGGCAGAGAAATCCCCTCCCCCAAGATCCAAGCAGAAACAACTGTTAGCAGCTGCCTGAGAAGCGCAGGGCACCTGCAGTCTCCATTGAAGGCAGCTCCTGGGCCCTTCCTGCTGCTGGGGAGCGGCATCTCTACCTTTCCCTTTCCCTCTCTCCCTGTTATCTATCTTCTATGTTTCTCTTTACTTAAACTTTATCATACAAGAGAAATTATGAGATTTTTTTTTTTTTGGTCTTTTTCCTTTTTATCGGTACCGGGGATCGAACTCACCACTGCTGCCTGCTTGCAAGGCAGGCACTTATGCCGCTGAGCTAAATCCCCAGCCCCAGAAATCATGAGATATTTTAAGTTTGTATTTATTTATTTCACTTAACATTAGGGTCTCAAGGTACATCCATTTTCCTAAAAATGATTCAAATTGATCCTTTTAATGGTAGAGTACTACTCCGTTTTGTCTCAATAGCACATTTCTTTATCCATTTATATGGCAGTTAACTATGTTGTCAGCTTGACTTAACCAAACACCGCCTAGTTTATTAGTAAAGCTTTGGGTGTGTCTGTGGGTGATTGACAGGCAGGCCACAAACTGAGAAGGAAAGACCCGCCCCAGATGTGGGGGCACCCACCAATGGGCTTGCAGCCTGGATGGACTAAAAAGGGAAAGAGACGTGGAAGCTCCAGGCCTCTCCAGCGCCTTCGGACAGAGCAGCTCAGTGTGGAAGGAGGCAAAGCCAAACTCTGCTCACCCGACCAAGACTGAGGCGGAGGTCCCTGGGCCGGCAGCTCAGCCTGCTTTCGCCTGGCCGCCTTCTGTCTCTTTCGATCTTATGAAAAGATAAAAACATTTTCATAGCCAAATAGAGACTAACAATAGTTATTACCCCGTGTATCACGACCTTCAAAATAGTTACCGAGTCCAAGACCTAAACCCCAAAGATTCTTGGAAAAAAAAAAAAAAAAAAAAAAAAAAAAAAAAAAAAATATATATATATATATATATATATATATATATATGAAAAGAACAGCGCTAAATTCTGGCTTGCGCCGAGCCCTGGGGGAGGACACTTGTAACTCTGATCGCTCTGGATCGCTAAGCAAACAAGGGAATAACTGTGATCTGCGTAAAGGTCAGGCTACATAGACTGCTACGGTCATCGTTGCGGACAAAGGCAGAAACTGCGCCGCGCTTTCCGGATGCGGGGCGGGGACCCGTTCCGGCCACCAAGGGGCAGCCGTCGGCCACCGCGCTTCTTCTGGGGCCCTGAGGAGTAGAGGGGACCCCGCCCCTTTCCTGAGGTCTCTGGGTCCTCCCTGCGCCCTTAGAGTTGTATTCACACACCACGCGCACATACCACACAACACACACAGCACACACACATAGCACACACACCACACGCACTACACACGAACCATACATACAGCACACAAACACTGCACACACCACACACACAACACATAAGCTAGTGAGCGAGGCACAGAGACAGATTGGGTGGCAGGCAGCGGGCTCCTGCCCTCCCTTCCCCTCCCCCCCCTCCCCAGTGTTGACCCCCCCAGCGCCCCTCCTTTCACCTTTCAGACCAGACCCAATGGTTCCCCTGCACCTCCCCTGCCTCCTTGCTTGGCACCAGAGCAGATGACTTCATGCTTGGGGTCAGTATGTATCGCCAGCCGGCCAGGCGGCAGGAGTCTGGGGAAGGTCAGACAGGTTTGGTTACTGTGGCACAGGCCAGGGTCTGGGAAGCATCAGAGGTGGCCTCCGGCCAGCTCTGTGCCTCATGTGGCCCATTCCCACCCCCGTGGTGGGACCAGGGCAGCAGCAAGGCGGCCACCATTTGGCCTGTCCACGCCAAGCCTCAGCCCAGCCCTGTCATTCCCAGGACAGCACAGGATCAAAAGCCTCGATCACCGTCTTGTTGCAGTGTCTGCCCTCCAGGCCTCTGTCCCTGTCCAGCAGGGAGCATGAGAGGATCCAGCCACATAGGCCTTCAGGCGATGGCCTCCAGGAAAGGACCACTTCCTGCTGGGCTGGGTCACCACTGGTTTCTCTTTCCAGTCTAGCCAATGCTGGGGTGCCCACACTGCCCCTCCATGAGGACAGGCTCAGGGGCTGGGCTGCTAGGTGTCACTGGGCGGAGTGAGCCAGCCAGTCCCACTGGGCCCAGGCGGCACTGCCACTTCACCCTCCCAAATGTGAGTTACTCTTCTCACCTCTGCCACCTGGTGTCGATGTCTGTGCAGGGTATCCTGTGACTGTCCCAACTTTGAGCATATGAGTGGGGGGCAGGTCCTGCCTGTTGGGCCACAGGATTCACAGGGCCTCTACCTAGACATACAGTAAATCTTGTGCCTGCACCGTGACCCCCGCCCACCTACAGCAACAGCTAGATGAGAAGTGGACTTGGTCCAGGGCCAGGCAAGAACTGCATGGTCCACCCTCTGCAGGCAGAGCCAGCAGACGCCAGGGGATAGGGACTGTGCGGTCCCAGAGGATCCCCAATGGGCCTCCCCAGCCCCTTCTTCCCAGGAGCCCACATCCTGTGCCTGTCCTGAGGCACCAGGCTAGGTGGCCATGCAGAGTACCTGACTGCATCTGTCTCTCCTTGACCAGAGTCACCTCCAGGGCAGACCCCGCAGCAGGCCCTCAGCCAGGGACCTCACGTGAGACACTGATTCTCATCAGACGTCATGGTCTCACCACCCTCAACACACCTCAGACCCTGACCCTGCCGAGCATTAGCTGCCAGCTTCACCCCAGGGCATGGAGGGCTGTCCCACAGGTTCCCACTGTGCATGGGACACTGAGAAAGGAGGAACACAGCTTGCTTTACAAAAGCATCTAACCTCGTGGTTCTGACTCAGTTCTGGAGAGCAGTCCTGGTGTCCAAGAGAGGAAACTCACTCACTATGTCTGGGAAACGGCTAGGAGAGGGCCGGGCAGACACGGCAGCTCGCCAAGGCCCAAGGGCCACATTGGGTGACAAAGGTGCAGAGCCTCCCATGGGCACCAACAGATGGCAGCCATGGGCCTTGCAAAGCTCTGCCTCCCTTCCACACTGCTGGGCTCTCAGGTGGGCTCTCAGGGCAAACTTTGGAGCCTCCAGCTTCTATCCTAACCCGGAGACCAGGAGCAAGCTGTGCCAGACTGCATGTTAGGGTGGAACCCCCACCGCTGCCAGTCCCATCCACCATCAGCCCCCACCAGCACACCTTCCCACAACCCAGTGGACCCTGCAGAAGCCACAGCTGGAAGTGCACATCTAAATCCAACCGGAGCGGCCGAACCAGGTCAGTGAGCATTGCGCACAGCAGGGAAAAGTGGAAGGCCAGCGCAGGGGGAAAGGGGACCACTCAGGCCACACTCAAGGCCCACAGGGGCCCCACCACAGGGAACCATTGGAGAGAGCCCAGCAGATGGCAGCGGGTGGGGGGAGGGGGGAGTCTTGTTTTCAGGGCCCTGGGCACAGAAGCAAGGGCCTTGGTGAGCCTGTCTGTCGTTTATCCTGCCACCGTGGCACAATGCTTTGGTCCTCTGTGGCTACGCTGGTGACTAATCGGCCAGCACTCCACAGCCCCAGCGTGGGTCCAGCCTCTCACTAGCCGTGCCA